TCTTAATATGTTAGCAAAGTGCAAAAACAAATTGAAATATATATATATATATATATATATATATATATATATATATATATATATATATATATATATATATATATATATATATATATATATATATATATATATATGGAAAATATAAAATGCATTTAATTTTTTCTTTGAATTAAAAGATCAGAGCAGAAGAGTTATCCTTCTTTATTTTCCAAGGGTTGAAAAAACCTGGGTGCTATTTCAGAAATGATGAGCATTTAACCCAAACAAAAAAAAATCGCTCTTTGTTGCGGGAAGAGTTTTCAACTTTGAACTGTTTTGAAAGCAATGCATGGATAATCGCTTTCCAGGACGTGTCTTGTTCAGAGCAATTATATTTATCTAAAAGTGTTGGGACTATATACAACAGCTTGCTGATTTGTGACCAAACAGTTACTTCTTGAATTAAATAACAAAGAAGACCATCTCTAGTTAACGTGATAATTGATTGGTCATCATTCAGCACAATATGAAGTAATTGCACTCACCACACACAAGGTGCTGTACAAGTACTCAAACACTTGAAATACAGTTGTTTCTGCTTAAAAATGCCCAAAAGCAGCAATATTAAACTACGCTGTGAATTAAGGCTAAGTATAGGCGTTTCTATGCAAATAAGCCAATAAAAAAAGCATAAGAGGTATATCTATTGATCAAAGAAAGTTGATTTATTTTCCGATGCATTCTTAGTACCTATGGTATGTTATAGGCAGTGCACATTATGACATCATATTATGACGTCACTGATCTTACCTACCGGAGGGAATGAAAAACATCAACAAAATAGCATCGGTGCAAGGGATAACACCATTTATTTTCACATAAAAAAATTTTCATTTGATCGGAATTTGAGGAAATTTATAATGGACTGTACGTTTTTAACCTTATTATACTTAAAATTTACAAATAGAAATTATACAACAAAGCTGTTCATATTTATGCAGCAATACCAGCAAACTTTTGAATATTTTGCTTCTAAATATACCTTTTTTCAGTTAAATAAAATAGAGTATGCCCTTGCGCCGAAGTATTTTTGTTGATGCCCATTATAATTTTGTGTAGTAAAGAACAATGACGTTATAATATGTACTGGCTACCTCATGTTGTGGGTACGCAGTATGTATTAGACAATACGTTTGAACTTTCTCTGTATAATAGATATAGTCCATAGGCATTTTAATTAGTTTATTTGCATAGAAATGTCTATACCTAACCTTAACCCACCTGCGTATCTTTTACAGGGGTTTATTTTTAAATGTCCGTAGTATAATTATGAGTAAATTTATAAACTTGCGATTTTTTTTGTCAATTTTTACTTAAAATATTGACTTGTTAGAGCTTGCCCTGAAATAGCTTCAGAGCATTCTTTTAAACGGTGGATCTACAAATTTTTACCCGATAATAAGCACTCATGCAAATCAGAACAATACTCCAATCGGAAATAAGTCATAGCATGGAGGTATCCCATATTACATAAGTCATTTGATAGGAGTGTTTAGCTGTTCGTTTAACTTTAACTCGGTTAATATCCTTGCTACATTGTTGTATCAGGACGATGGTTGTGAGGATTGTGTAAATTTGAATTCAACCATTAAAAGAAAAAACAGTAAACAAGATGATTACGGTGTGAGATTTACCTTGGAATGTCAACGTATCAAATATGCTTTTAAAATCCTATTAAGCATTTTTTCTAAGACATACAAACCCTTTGCATTGATAGATATCCAAGTTTGTAATGGAATTCACAAAGGTATAATTTGTAGCTTTTGGGGAAAGAGTACATGTAAAAAATACATTAGTCGTATGCCTTTTGTCTTGTTTGTACAGAATAAGCACATGTATTTGTTTATTCGTGATACTTATTTACTGTGAACTTATTTTTCCAATATGTGAATGAAGAGGGAAAAATACAACAGAGAATATAATCGCAAGTTCTATGGCTGATACCATGACCTTAGTCAGCAAATATAGATTATTATTAGGTTGAATGCTGACTAATGTTTCTCATACTGTTTGGCTATAATTTAAACACTGAATTATGTACACTGTTCACCCGACCATGACTATGAGCACACGGCGGGTGTGACCGGTAGACAGGGGATGGTTACTCCTCCATGATACCAGATCCCACTTCTTTTCTCAAAGGTCTGAGTGCCCTGCTACAGATTTGTATTGTTTTAGTAGACTTTTGGATTTGATTTCTGTTCGTTACCTCCATATTTCATTTCTGTGCAACATTTTGGTTTTTCTTTTTTATTTGAAAAGCGATACTATAATATCCTTAAATTCGATCATCCTGTTCGTACCTTTAAATTAAATTAAAATAATACTCCGACAGGAGGACGGTACAGATACTGTAGATGTACATATAATTCAAATCTAGGGTTACTACAGAATTTATTTTAATGAACCACTATAGCTATATAATCTATACCTTTATTTTCTTCTTTTTTTATTATAATTCTTTAAATTTTTTATTTAATATTTCTTTTTCTTTTCTATTTATTTTTTTTTTAAATTTATTTATCAATTTTATTTTACTTTTTATTTTTATTTTATTTTATTTTTTTTTTAATTCTTTTTTATATTTATTTTTTTAATCATTCATTTTTTTTTTTTTTTTTTTTTTTTTTTTTTTTTTTTTTTTGCTAACTTAAATGACATTTACATTTTTATGCAGAATATTAGATTTTAAAGTTAAAAATGTGGCACATACCTCTTTTACAAAATGTAAACACCAAATAAAATGTAAATGAGTATAAAATCTTGGCGAATTGGTTATTTACAACAAAATGTTGACATCATTCAGTTGTATTGCCTGACGTCATGAGCGTCAGACAATATAGGGATCAATTTCTCCATGCTCCAAGACTAAGCGATCTAATCATGATAAATCATTTATATAATCATTATTATTTGCATTTCAACAAATACAGTTTGCAGAAGATTAGAAAAAAATCATTTAACTGATGCAAAATAATGATGTGTTTACTTCCTTCAGATTTTGTCGCCCGCGTGGCACAGTGGTTAGAGCGTCTGCTCTAGAGTCGCGAAGTAAGGAGTTGATCCTTACGTCGCGGGTTCGAATCCCACTGTGGGACGTGGAGACCGGTCCTTCGGATGAGACCGTATAAACCGAGGTCCCGTGTCGCAGTAGGTGCTGGCACGAAAAAGACCCCTCACTGCTCAATGGCCGTAAGTGTCGACCATAGGACAAAATTTGCAGCTCTCCACCTGCAAGTGGTGGCGTCTCCATATGAGTGAAAAATTCTCGAGAGGGACGTTAAACAACACACAATCAATCAATCAATCCTTCAGATTTTTTTGGAGGGTGGGGGATGCAACTGTTCATCGTTTGTGATATTCCTTGATATTCTTACCCTTAAATCGATGAGACTCTTTGCAAAACAGTCTGAACGTGGCACAAACTACATTTTATTATGATTACTTTGTTATTTAGGTTGATTTTACACAATTTTTTATCAGGCTGTTTTTCCACAATGACAAAAATAGTTGCTGATGTGTTACACTTTTCGCTGTAAATTATAATTAAAACAAATATTAAGTACTCCCCCTTCCTTTTTTTTAAACCATGGGAAACTATTTGCAAGTTCTGAAAACACTTTTTTTTTCTTGGAACTCGAACGAAACTCACTATACCAATTTCCTGTTTAAAGACGGTTTTATTTATTAAATCTGTTCTACTCTATGAACTTAGAATGTAATTGCCAGGACCACACATCTTGAATTTTAATCACAGTAACACAATGAGAGATACAATAATAATTAAAAAAGAAGAAAAATTCCCCTAACAGAAAATGCTATACTTAACTCAACTTTACTATAGTGAACTACAGGATCATTTTTTTAAATACAGTAAATCATTTCTTATTATGAAAAAAAAAATAATAAAATGATATCAGATTGTTATATTATGTTTTCCAAATCAAACATACACCTTTTTGAAATTAAATGGACTATTACTTGTGTAATGTATAATCACAATATTTCCATATTTCAAATCATTAGATTTCGAGTTGAGAGCTTTAAAGCTTCCAAATCACAAAAGTTCTCGAATGAATTTTCATAGTTAATTAAAGTATCAAAGTATTTACAATAGTTCACTATTTGTAACTAAAATAAACCATAGCTAAATTTAGTTGAAATTTGTTAGAGATCTCTAGATTTAAGAATATAAATAAAAAAATCAATTCGAATAAAAAATTTACATAACAAATGGAAATTATGAAATCAAAAATCATAAATGCGCATGAAATTTTAGAATATATTGCGAAAATATACAATACAAATCAGAATTTTTTTTAATACAAATTCACAAAATCATATACTGCAATCTTATTTTTGACTATTATATTATTCAAAATTGCACATTCCTACTGAATTTATAATGTATTGATCTTGGATAAAAGTATAAGATGGTACAGTATTACAGAATCGTACTATAATTACAGATACAATCCTCCCTCCCTCCCTAAATAAATCCAAAAGTTTAAGGCTTAAAAAATATTGAAGTAAAACCTAAACTAAAACAAAACCTTAACACTAATTATTCAGAGTTTAAACACATAAAGTCCTTATTCTTAGTATTTTTAAAATTGATGGGAGTCAAATGTGCGATTTTGCTTATCAATGTAATTTAGAATTATTTCAATGTCTATCAAGTCTGTGTTAGCAGTAAATAGGAAGATGTCTAAAGGAAACATCAAAAACAGTAAGGTCTTCCAAAGGAAGTTGAAGGAGCTTAAAAGATAACTTTGCAATTGATCAAGTTTAAAATATTGATATGGTACAAATAGTTTTTATTTAAATATGTACTAGGCAATTTTAGACTATACAATATTTAAAAGCAAAAACAAATATATATATATATATATATATAATAAAATAAATAAAATTAAAAAAATAAATAAACAAAATAATTTTAAAAAAATAATAATGGTCAAGAACCTAGATCGATCGCTTTGAATCATTTATCTTTCACAACGTTTTCTGCCTTCGATTTTCTGGATTTAATCTTTTCGGGGTTCAAGCAAACGTAAGATTTAGGCCCAGTAATCCGATAACTAATTTTGTTACAATGTGGAAGATTCATAAATCTTTCATCAGCGATGTCACGGAAAATCATTTCAAGGACTGGCGGCAGTGGATCAAACCCCCCTAATTTGGCAAGTTCTTCATTGTACCGAAATCGCCGACCAAAATTGATATCCCCAAAACAATGGGCAAATGTAGATGGTTTTCCTTCTTTCAAACGAGACTGAAAATCAGCCTCACTATCTGCCATCATTTCTTCTTTGGATGGAAGTTTCACTTTTCCTGCGAAAACCAGTGCCGCAAGTTTTGCCATTTCATAGTACTGCGGGAAATATAAAATTTGTCGAGCAATTCCAATAAAAATCAGGTTGGGATATTCGATATGAAACATATGTTTGTATATGGGCTGAATGCGTTCATCTTTAATCGTTATGATGTCATCTTTTAGGAAAGGAAATGAGTAACGATATCCGGTACAGAAGATGACAGCATCCACCTTTTCACAACTGCCATCGGGAAAAACCACCGAATCGTTTGTCATACGGACAAAGGGGGGTCTTTGTTCTATTTCTTTTGGAAAAGATGGCGTGAATCCCTCTGGCTTTCGTCTGTGGCAAGCAAACACCTTTTGTGAAGGTAAATAAAAAATACAACATCTATAAACCAAGCATTTTTTTTTATTTTCTGAAAAGTTCACTAAAATAGTATCTGTTATTATAATAAATCCGCAGTCATACCGTAAAGTAGGTATCAAATTGTGTTTATCAAAGTATTGCTGTATTTCGCGGATAGAACAAATCAACCAAAAACTTATCACAAAAAATTAAGAAATTTGTATAAGCATCATCATTTATACTTAAGCTTGTAAGTGGTAAGTACGACATCGTAGTTTTCCACCTGGTTTAACACTTAAGTTTTTAACTTAAAGCTATAATAGTTTTAATGCTTACCAGGATATGATTTTTTAAAGCAAAAATTACCCCCCCCCCCCCCAAAAAAAAAAAAAAAAAAATACGAGAAAAAAGAGCAGCAGAGCTTCTTATCAGTCCTGATTCACCCTGAATAGGTCAGATCATTCTTAAAATATTCAAAACTTTGAAAGTTTTCCGCCAAATTTAGCATCCGATAGTCATTTCCTATTAACATTTTTTTTTTTTTTTTTTTGAGGTATTATGTGCAATTGGAGGAATTAAAAACAAGCAGAGATTAATTTTCTACCATTCAGAGGTAAAATTGAATATCGTTTTCAACTAGAGAAAATACATCCTTTCATATTGATATATAGAAGACTTATATAAAAATACCAAGAAGAATACGTTAAACGAAATATTTAAATTTTAACTATATAGATTGTAATTCCAGCAATTCGAAAAGAATAAACTTGATTATCGAGACTCCGTACCTTTTTTGCAAATTGTACTACATGCAACGAAATGTCTTCGCCTGAGTAGTTGCATCCCAGGATTGCAACTCGAAGACCATCAAAATGTTCCTCGTGTCTAAACTCCTTGCTGTGTATGATTCTTCCCTCAAACAATTCCATTCCGGAAATATTTGGAATGTATGCCTTGCTGTAATGCCTGAGAATTATATTTAAAATTAAGAGGCAGTCCACCAAAAAACCAGGCAAGGGGTGGCACATCGCATGTCATGGATTTTAATTATTTTTTGCATGTAGACTTATTAAAGCACTTGTTTACACATGACAACATTAAAAAAAATTTTAGTGCTCCTCTAGTCCTATTTTTGGTAAATGCTTAATTTTAAGTGCAAAAAGGTCAACATAAGGGTAAAAATAATTACCAAGTTTTTATTTTGTTTTATATGTAACAGATACTCAAAAGCTGGATGTGTCGATGAATATTATTTATAGCATAGACTCTTATCTTTTATTTTATTAATGAATAAGCCTCCAATTTATACTTCTTTAGAAAAAAATTATATGGTCCAAATTTGAGTTAAGCAAGTAATTTTTTGAATTCAGTATCCAATTTTCATTACGTTATAAAACCCAATAAATTACAAGGACAGATTTTTTTTCTTATGTTATTATGAATACAAAGTACAAACTTTTGAATCACTCAATAAAATCAGTGGGAACAGGTATATTGAAAGAAATAAAAGGAGTCAAATTTACCTTTTTTTTCTTTTTCTTTTTTAATTTTCCCAAATGAAACCGATCCCGACCGGAATTATATAAAGAAAAAAATACTATAATTGTAATGTTAAATTTGGCTCTTTTGTTGTAATATGAGTAAAAATTTACTTGATTTATTTTTTAACATGCTATATACGGGTGGAAGGTGCCTTTAGTTTGATAAATTTGTTAATTTTGCATTATTTTCGATCGGATCGGGATCGGTTTTACTGTAAATTTAGAAACATTTCCTAAATTTGGCTCTTCATTTTAATTTATCAGAAAAATATGCTTGTCTTTTATTTCTTTTCAGTCAGTTAACTGTTTTTAAATGAGTGTAACCATAGATTCAAATTTATATATTATTTAAATCACTAATGTCTTTTACGTACATGAAGATTACATGTAAAACATCTGATTGAATTCTTAATAGATACTCGGTATTTAAAAAAAAGTATTTGTACATGCATTATGCAACAAATGAGAGCAGACAGCTTTCTAGCTTTATTATTTATCTTATTTCCAAGTAAAATTTATTTTTTATTTCCTCAGGAATTAAAGAGTAAATTCTATCAGTGGCGAAATTAAACTTGCCTAAATACAGGAAATATTTTTATGTGTACAGTCTCGACTTTATCCAATTTTTTTCTTACCTGTCATCTGTAAAGCCTTTTCCTCTTTTACATAATTTGATTTTATATAAATAAGAAAATAAGTTCTTTCATATATAGTATCATTATTCAAGAGCCGATAAATCGCAAGCAAAAAGCAGGGGGGGGGGGGTCATGACGTCATTATTTTTAAAAATTGGTTTCATGAACGTGAAAACATTTTAGAATTGGCCAACATAGTCACATGTTTAAACTCCATATTAAATGTGAGTGTGTGATTGTTTCAATCGCCAAATTAAAAAAATAAATAAGTAAAATAAAAAAAAATCCGAAATGTTTCACTAAACCATCTTCCGTTTTAGTGCCAAATTATAGTGAGGAGTTCAGCAGTAGTTTAACTCAATATATATATTTTTATAACTTATTTTTCAGGTTTTTTTTTTTCATTTTTAATCGTACTTCGGATTGTTTATTTTGATTTGACTGCATAGATAAATATATTTAAGTTTTTACAAATATCATGAAGTAAACATTTCAACTTCGTTGAATTAAGTATTGCGTAAATCTAAAACATTCATCATTGATTCCCAATTTTATAAGAAATGTTCATGATAAACACTTCATTAATTATTTTTACACATATCCTAGTAAATCAGTTAAAAAAAAATTAGTTCTCAGACATGTATAAAATTACTTATCAAAACGTCATCTAGCTGAGACGCCGCCCGTGTATAAAATACATTTGGATATTAAAATATTATTTAACATTTAGAATAATGCACTCTGAAGAGTAATTAAACAGAAAAAGAGAAATCATTTTTTTTAAAAATCTTTTACGCAAAGAATTTACAAACTTCTCTAGAAACTTGTAACTATTTCATTGTGACGCAATATTAGTCAGGTATATGAAGTCACTGATACATCAATGGAAACGTGGATTCAACCTGAATAATAGAGCCAATTTTAATCTAAATATTACGTCTGGAGGCGAAAATGAATTATATTTTGAAAATAAATTATTTAGTTTTTTGTTTAATTATTTTCTTTAGTGTATCGATTCTAAATATTTCACCAGGATTCCGATAAAAAGGTGTTGAGCAGATTTACCGATGCCACGGGAGATAACTCTTGCATCGCAAAATTTCATAAAAACGTCCTTTTATTTTGCCGGAAAACTACTATCAAAAGTGTTTTTCCCACCGATTTTATTTTTAAACAAAAATTTGAAATATTTCAAGATTTAGTTAAATGTGAATTATAGTCCTGTTAAAAATGTATTAGAAATTACAGTTCTTTGTTTCTGACCTACATTCAATGGTTTATATAGGGCATTCAAAAACACAAAACACAAGGATATTTTACTAAATAAGCAATTATCAAACAAATCTTCAATTACATTATTCCTTTTGGGCTACATTGATATTGTTTTTAATAAAATATCAAATATTCCTCACATTCGATGTGCCGCCTATTAATACAATACTGCCCGGTTTTTCGGTGGACTGCCTCTTAATTCCAAATTTACTCTTTGTTTAGCTAACTAAAAGATATCATCATTAACAATGTTTCTAAAGTAGTATATTCATTTAAAAAAAAAACCCAACTGTTATTTCTGTCTGAATTAAAATTACGAGGGTCTTGCAATAAGTAATGCAAAAAGTCATATAAAAATACGGAAAGAGGGAGAAAAAAGCTTTCTAAAATATTTTTAATCCTTCAGAGTAAACGTTCCTTTCTTCAGAATTTACTTTATATCCCTATGATTATTTGCAGAAGCATTGTCCAATACAAGAAAAACACTCTATTGACCGGTGTTTGGACTTTTCTTACAGAAAGCCTTCTTACCGTTCCTCGGTGTAATATCAACATAAAATCAACCATTACTTTTCCTTTCTTAGGGTGTAGATACTTATATTACTGGACCTCTTGAATAAACAGAAAAGATGTATAAACCTGTTTAGAGCCATGACTTCTCCTTGCAATAAAAGGACAACAGCTTTTTTCTCTGATTCAACATTTTATCAAAAATCCTCATTTTGGAATATAAAAAGAGCACCCATGGTTCGTTTTAATCACACTTGACTACAATACCTTCTTTTGTTAAATATTTGCATTTTGAATAGACCTTTGGCACATATAATACATGTCTTTTCTTGGGCAACAGTATGGAAATAAGGCACCCATTTGCAAGAAATAGCTTTAGATTCATTCTTTCGACAGAAAACTCTATAAAATGTGTGGTTATATGATGAAATGCTTATAGTCTTAGTCTTTCACTGTAAATCTGGAGTTTCAAGATATCATGTTGTTCACAACATAGACATTTTACGGGTCCGATCAGACTGTGATCGACCAGTTCGATTGTTATCTTTTGACTATCCATTTCATTTACTTTTGAATTCTTTTATCCATCTGAAATTGCACAGCTTGAAAGACTAGTCTTTCCGCATATCAAAACCATATCTCTCATATGGGTTCTTCAGCAATTTTTGTAATGAAGAGCGGTTTAAACATACGCCCTCATTTTCATCAGAGATAATTTTTAACAGTTTTCATCTCAGTGTAGGGACCATGCTGACTTTAAAAGAGAATTTCTTTGCGAAGACAGTAAGAAAAGACATGCAGTTTTTGGTGTTTAGGAGATCTTAAATAGAACTTTTCGAATGTGAAAAAATAAAATTAAATGCTTTTACATGTGTACTTATTGACTCGTAACCTTTAAACACCAAGAGGAAAGAACACACAATTCTTTGAATAAAACAAAAAGATCCAGCTGTAGAAAGAAGAATCTCATTTTGTCGGAATCGAGTACAGCTAATAGAAAAAAAATACTGCAATGATGTCACAACTTTAGACATAATTGGATTATTTGCAGTGAAAAAGAGTAACAATGTCGACCGATCATATCAGCTCGATGAAAATTTGTTAGCAATGTCTGTTTGTAATAGACATAAAAAAAGAAAAATTGTTGAACATACCCATTACATACAAGAACAGAATCAAACACTTCCGTTATGACCTCCGATAACTTGTTCACAGGAGAAAAGGTCACCAGCCATTTAACACGACAGTTTTCCTGGGCTTCTTTGAGAGGCTTTACATCTCGTACAAATATATGCGTCTTCAATGAAAAAAATAGTCTGATAAAAAAGCACCAAATTCTCACTAAATTTCAGTTTTGCATTTGTATTTTTGCACCAAAGGCATTAATATTTACCTCGTTATTTCTGAGTAGTTCAAAAAAATTGTCGATACAAGATAAGCAATGTATCAGCCTTTCATTTTTGATTAATATAATATCTAAAAATACTTTAAAGGTTGTAAAAATTAAGCCTTTTACGTCAATGGTATATTAAAACCTTTGCTCATGAAATAACTAATAATAAACATCTTTAGTAAAAGAGAACATTACGCGTTACAGTTTGCTGGGTATAGCTTTTCTTATGTGGAATATAGGACCTTTCTGTCGCATATTATGCATATTACACACCACATAAGTGCAAAATTGCAATGCTTTGATTCCCTAATATCAGATAAGAGATGTTACCCTTATGTATGGTCTAAGCTTGAAGTGGTCTGCAAACATGTTGAGGTATTGCAAGCATTGCTGATGTGTGATGTAGGAAGTAGTCCATTCTTTTGGATAGGGGAAATCCGGAAATTCTTGTATTTCCTTTGGAAGATTTGTTCTGCAGATTTGTGCATTAGCATGGTTATTTGAAAATTAAACATAATCTTGGCAACTTAACATAAACACTGACAGAAGCTACTTGATAATATTTTTTTTTTCTTAAAATGCATTCAATCTTTCAGAAATCGAAAGAGTTGTAAAATTAACATACCAATTTCTTGGTATTTTTCGATGCAAGCATATGCGTTATCATGCAAGACTGATATACTCAAATTAAAGATTAACTAAATAAAGATTAATGCACCTCAGTGGTTACTGTGTATTCAGCATTAACAGACCAGCTTTTAGGAATATTACTTAGTGTTCTAATTTAAATGTTCTAGGGAAGCATTAACTTCAACTGAGCAAGAGACACTAAGACCATGCTGAAATCAGTATCCTTTTTCTGTTTTAGATGGAAGAACAGCTAATGTTTTTGATTTGAAATGGGATTGAGACATCCTGAATTAAAATATGAAAATGTCAATAGGTACATGTTATTATGCTGAAAAGTTCATTTATAAATATCATTTAACTCTCACTAAAAGGACATATGAGTCTTATACATTGATATTTAAATTTCTTGTATTTTTTTTAAATTTAGATGAAAAAAATATCCGAGAGGAAGAGCACAAGAAGACAATGGAGACAAAATTAAAGAAAACTCACATAGCCAGTTGATTAATGCACTAGTGTTTACTGTGAAAAGATGGAGTTTGGCTGTTATCTGAGATTTTTTTGTCAGTTTAAAAGAAAACAGTAGATAGACTTACGTTAGATTGTTATATATAGCAGAGTGTGTCGGAAGTCCAAAATCGTCTTTGTTTGTCTGGTCCGTATAGTTCCATAATCCACAAGGCCAAAAATTACGTTCAAACGCAACTGGTTCAAAGATGCTTAGATTATCACATAAGTGCTTAAAAGAAAAAAAAATCTATATTTTCTTTGCGGATTCTTTTTTCTCATGTGAGTCATCTTCGTAAGACATGGGGTCAGATCAGAAGTCATTTTGAACTTTCAAATACAAATTCGATGCAAATGTTTTAAAACTTTTAAAGAAACTGTCTAGAGACGAATGTGTATCAGAGATACAGACAGACAGTCCGACAGACCAAAAGAAATATAGCTCGTAGTAAAAGTGAAAGAAACAAAATGACTGTTGATAAAAACTTTCCATTCCCTTGCATTGTATTTTTTGCTCCTTCGAAATAAAATCTTATAAATGGTCAGTTTTTTTAATATTCTACATACACTACTGGACGAAAAAAGTGCTGAGAATCCCAAAATTTACTGATAATGTTTGATAATTACTGATACTGTGCTGTTCTTGCTGATAAATACTGATATTTACTGTTATTCTTACTGTTGTTACTGATAATTTTAGTTGTTTCTGATAAATACTGATAATTACTCTCGTCGTTACTGTTGAGTCTGATAAATACTGATAAATACTGTTGATGTGCTGTCGACGCTGAGATTTACTGATAATTACTGTGGTCATTGTTCTTGAGCGAGAAGGTGCTAAAATAGAGCTTTGGGTTGTTAAAACCTTCTTCAATCACTACTTTCTTTTTTATTTAATTTTCCCAACAACATTTTCATGTTTCTTTATATTTACTGCTTGTGACAAAAATATGATACTGGTCTCAATTATAATACGGTAGTGAAAATCTTGACAATTATAATTAAATTTAACCATTAAATAAATTGTCAGCGTAAAGGCAAATGTTTTCCAAGAATGTATGAAAATAGTAGATGTATGTCTGTAAGCAGAATAAATGGAATTTTCCTTTTGCATGAAGATTTCATTTTAACATAAGTCACTGTAATACTAAAACATTAAGGCTTTAAAAAAAATAAAATAAAAAAAAAAGGATTGATAGACCGACTCAAGAAATTTGGGTAAGGATGTTGGTGAATTTTTTCATTAAAAAACACTGAAGTGGAAATAATTATTAATGGGTGGGCAAAAATCGGGATAAAAAAAAAATTCCAGTAGAATAGAAAAAATTTGATTCGGACCTTTTTTTTTCACTCGGTCAAGAGAGGACAAACAATCATTTTCTTTTTAAAGATGGTCTTACATGATAGCATTTTTTAAATTCTTCCCCAAAGATATGCATAGTTTTTTTTACTTTTTTTAATGTTCGGTCTTTCGGATCTTTTTCCCCTGAAAATCTGCCCGAAACTGATAAATTTTATGTTTTTTTTTTTTAAATAAATTGAGAAAAAAGGGGTGAATATGTTCAGTCTGGAGGCAAATTTTTTATTTATTTATAATTTATGTTTTTAGGAATACGTAATGCAAGCATCCGTAGATCGTCCCAGAATATAACTCTGTTACATGTTTATACATGTGCAACCGGCAGATGGGGGCTGATCAAAAATTATTTGTCAGAATTATAGTGTAAGTGCAATGGTATACGCGTGTACATGTAATTTTGATGTTGGTCTCTTACAATTTTACAAGTCACCACATAAAACATTTTTATTCAATAAGTTTTAAAAATCTCATTCATTTTATGGAATGGAAAATAAGAAATGGGACTTACTAAATGTAAATAATGGATTATTAAGTTGATCGATTTTAATATTGTAAGGTCACAGATCTGAATGGAATACACGTTTAAATTAATCAGAAATCAAAGATCAACCCGTGATTTGGCTTTATTGTGTACATGTCTTAGGCACTGGGGCAGAACCGGGTACAACATGTATATTCCATGTAAGTTGTAGTGGTCAGCGTAACAATGGGCACTAATTACCTATTGTTCTGCGTCTGCGGCCACCGGGGTTAATAATAAACAAATGAACCTGCACTGTACATGTACTTGCTACATGTACTTGGAGCAGGAACAATCTTTATGAATGCACAAAAAAATTAATATTTGTTATCGATTTGGTTGACAAATTAAATTGATAGAAAAATGTTTAGCAATATAGGACACAGTACAAAAAAGGGGGGGGGGGGGTAATGAAGTTATATACGTTGTACAAACTTATTAATTAAATGAAGTAACTTAAACATGTTAAAATAAAATAGATCTATTTTAATTCACGTCGATCTTTGCTCAGTATTTAATTTCATTTGCTAGTTTTACGTACATTTCTTGAGATAAAGTTTAAAGAATATCCAGGGGGAGGGTGCTACATGTAAATTCATTTGAATCTCTGTTAACAGTGTTTATGGGCATGTAAAACGGAGACGAGAAATTGATAAGGAAAAGTTCGACTTTGTTTATCTAATAAATAATTATGCAAAATTTATACGAGATTTTTTTTTTTAAAAAGATGGGTTAGTGATTTAGCAATTTGTGTAATGATATTAGCATCAACTGTTCACAGTTCAGAACATCGCTGAATCCGAGAAAAAAAATCTGTTATGAATTATCGGAATGTAATAGTAACATGCTGATCGCACTCATGAATAAATGTTATTAGAATAGATGAATTTTGTATTGTTTCTTGATTCTCTAAAATAATTCATTCATATATATTAAAGATATTTGGTAATTATTACATATATAGCTTATGGAACTTAAAACTAAAGAATCAACCTCGCGCCTATCAGCTTAGTTAACAGTCTTTCATCCCCCCCCTTTTTTTCTGAATAACTAATTGAATCATGTCGCGTGTACTTTGAGTACATTGGTCTCGCAAAAAGAGAAATGGACAACAAATATTATACTCTCTGTACAAGTTATTTCTAATTTTACTAATGTTACTAAATGCTTATCGTAAGAAATACAACGCGTACTAATATTTGACCCGATTCTCAAAACGAAAGTAGAAACTTCTACACGTGGTGGACATGTGAATATTTTTCACAATGTTTTAAGAACAACCGAGTAATTTCAAGTTTTGTTTTATTTCGTTTTTTAACTGACTGATCGCGTATAAGCAGGTTATTATTATTTTTTTTTTAAACTGATCTAGCTGTTACCAGTAATTAAGCACATCGTACTAACGAAGAAAGATCTACGTATTTCATTGAATGAAAATCACACTGCATAAGATTTCTATCTGTTAAAAAAAGCAACAAAAGATAGATAGCTTGATACCACAAAATGTTATTAAAAAAAGTGCGAGGAGACATAAATTATAGATCTAGAGAGCACTAGCTAAAAGAGATAATTCAACAAATTTAAGATCATGATCAAATCTTATTATTTGAACCTGTCACATTCTTCATTAAAGGGCATAGTATATGTTATATGAATAGATTTTTTGTGAGAAATATTTAATACTGCCTTGTTAAAAGGAGAATGGTTTGTAAAGGGGGGGGGGGGGTTCTCAACTAACAGAGCAGACGGAACCCATGTTACTAGTCAAATATTCAGGTTCTCTACATGAAAATATAAATTTAATTGCAACCATTGACTGTACTGAAGATGCTTCCTAAAATTTTTAACGACAGTACAAATACACACGGAAAAAATATGAGATGGGATTTTTTTTAAAAAAAAAAAACCTTTGTGAATAAAAAATTGTTTTAAAAAGTGCCTGCATAGGTAGAGTAACAACTGCATGAACAACCCCCCCCCCCTTTTTTTTAAGATATTGACAACAAAGGAGAAATATAAAGATAAAGGAAAACATAAACATTTATGATCTAATTTTAACATTAAGATGTAAAAAAAAAAAATAATAAATAAAATAAAAATAAATAAATGAATAATGGAATGTGAAAACAAATTATAATTCATGTGACTTTTTCATTTAGAATTTAACTAGTAAGTAGATTGTAATGAATTTTGTTGATAAAATACTTTCTTTAAAATAATTAATCATCACTCAAGTTTTTTAGCACCTTCTCAGCTCAAGAACAATGACCACAGTAATTATCAGTAAATCTCAGCATCGACAGCACATCAACAGTATTTATCAGACTCAACAGTAAAGACGACAGTAATTATCAGTATTTATCAGAAACAACTAAAATTATCAGTAACAACAGTAAGAATAACAGTAAATATCAGTATTTATCAGCAAGAACAGCACAGTATCAGTAATTATCAAACATTATCAGTAAAATTTGGGATTCTCAGCACTTTTTTCGTCCAGTAATGATAGTCATGTGCATCAGAAAAAAAAAACTTGGAAAGGAAAGATCTACATTACATCATAATTATTCAAATTAAGGATTCGCCACTCCTCTTGATTAAGGTAGTGCTGAAGAGTTTACCCTATACTTAACATGAACTTGCTTTTAACATTGAATTTCATTATTTTCATACAAGAGGTTTAAAATACGAAACGCATGGTCTTTTAAAATACACAAGACAGATCGTCTGAAATGGAAGACATATCATTTAAAAAACAAACGAAACTTCACATAAGATGGAACTCAATATGTTTGGTTTTCTGGATATTTATCATAAAACGGGAGTCATTTTTTATTTGAAGAGAATCCTTTTTAACCCTTTATTGTATTTGTAAATCGAACAATTGTTAGCTTAATACTTGCACATTTTATCAACATTATATATACTGCATTCCCTTTCTTGATTTTGAGAGAATAAGAGAGATAAGATAACGATTTTTTTTTTATGATGATCGGATTCTCCAGTTATGCATGTACATTTATATCGAATCGACAATTGCGAACAGGCACGTACTATCGTTTTTGAAAGTGGGAGGAGGGGGGGGGGGGTTGGCAATCTAGTAAAAAAAGCTTCACCTAAGAAACTTGGACAAGCAATGATTATAAAAAGACAAATTCTCTAAACTCGAAAATCTTATTTCGAGGAGGGGGAGGGGGGCGGGCGAGGTTCCATCTCTCTCACAAGCAAATTTTCTTCATAAAAAAGTTTTCTTCATACATTACTAGATAACCCTGACTCTTTGACTATGTTGCAGCAAAAAGAGTGTGTGTATGGGGGGGGGGGGGGCAGGAGGGGGGCAAAAACCCTCTCAATGAATATTCTCTAAGTGAATGCTTAATGTTAAGGAAAAAATGTAGAGGCGAGGCAAGGCAGGTAACCTAAATGAACTTTTTACAAAGACTGGTTATCTATTTTTGTCTGTATTGTACTTTATTACATATAAATTAGGGATGGCAATTTGTAACCGGTTAACCGATTACTCGGTCGGAACGATGGTAATCGGTTCAAAAATCTGTAATTGGTTTGTCGAAAAAAGTAAAATATATGTAAATTTGAATGAAATTTTCCTTAAATTTATTTCTAAGAAAGAAACCCCTGCATAAAAGTTGATAATTAAGCGTTTTCACATCTCTGTTCAAGTTGATTTGGAGGTAATTATGGCTTTTCAGATTGAGATCGCGGAGCAATTGGTCAGTTTGTGAAGTTAATTACTGTCTTTAAAAACAGCGTGTCGCTATCCCGATTGTCCTGTAATTCTTTGACGATATTAAATCATGCACCGTTGAGCACTATGAATTTGTATGTGTGTCCTTTGCCGTTGTTTATTAAATAATATTATTAGACAAACATTGTAAATTAGGTTAAAGTTAAGTCATATTTTTGATTATCGTGACAATGCAAATTGAACCTGTGTGACATATGCTCTGAAAATTTATCAATGTCCAATTTCTCAGTAATGGAAATATTCCATCACTAATTGTACGTAAACACATATATACTTTTTTGAAAACTCTCAATTTGTGTTCTATAAACAAATGAATTAAGCAAAAATGTAAAGTTCTTGATAAAATAATTATGTCAATAGGAATTTTTTAAAGTAATTCTTAGAATGCAAAAAAAAGATGTTGGTAAATCTTAATACTTTAATGTCATTGTCATATAGATTGACCTATATATATATATATATATATATATATATATATATATATATATATATATATATATATATATATATATATATATATATATAGTACCGACGAGACACAACCTAACAACAGAGCACCCCGGCTTCGCTTCCTGGGTTCCTTCGCTCGAGGTCCGCTGCGGGTTCGCTTTCAGAAAATTTGGGACCGCTCTGGGTGCGCTTCGGGTTCGCCCTGCGTTCGCTCGGGGTCAGCTCTGGGTCCGCTAGAGCGAACCCGGCGTTCGCTTTCTGGGTTCGCTTTATGCACTCATGCGTGAAGCGGACCCCGCTTTAATCTTGCCGCCAGTAAGACCCGCCCCTTGTATATTCCAAATATAGTAGTGGAATCGATCATTACTGTTTTTATGTCGATCGAAACATGTACATGTAAGTGACAATATGGAGAACATTGATAATTTTTCAAGAATTCCACCGTACATTCGACGTAGAATTATCATTTTTATTTTTCTTAACTTAAAAGCTAAGTATATCTTGAATGAAAAAAAAAGAAAAGGTGTTAAATTTATTTTCGATGTATCGGATGGAATGAAATTGATGAGTATCTTAATAAAAAAAGCTTTCAAATTCATTTGTTTATATTATTCATGCGTTTTTAAATAAGTTGGAACTTCCAATTGTAATTGCAATTGCTAAATCGTAATTTAAATGTTTGAAAGACAAACAACTGAATTACGATCTTATCTATAAAATAGCTGTGACATACTGTGCACGTAAAATGCTAAGTTTTCATATTTAGCAGTTTATATTTAAGCTAGGTTGTCGTCCATTACATGTATATGTAGGTCGTGATAATCACTAAAAATCCTCACACAGTGTAACTTGAGTTTCATTTTACAGATCATTTATAATTTACTTCCATGCTATAAATCATTGTTTTATAAGGCGAGTTTAACTGAAGACTTATAAATAAAAAACAGCAACAACAATAAAAAAAAAAACAAAAACAAACAAACAAAAACATATAACTGGTCCACTGATAAGAATATATATTTTTTAAGTTGTTTTCAAATACATGTAAATGATCACTTGAATAGTTTGTGTTCCTTACTGGTTCATGATCCCCCCCCCCCCCTGCCCCACTACATACATGTACATACTTGAGCGGCATGTTAACAAACAAAATTCTAAATGTTTAAAAATAAATAAATACAAGAAAGAAAACAAACAAAACAAGAATTCAATAACTGTAAACTCGCATGATTAAGTAGATGAAATTAAGATAATAACGCCCGATGTTTTTTTTTTTTTTTTTTTTTTTTTTTTTTTTTTTTTTTTTTTTCGATGAGCCCCCCACCCCTCTCCGTACTTGAACTGTTTTCTATGGCACGGTTGTAGCAATTTTAATTTCAAATAATATACAGTGTTCTCTCTCTCTCTCTCTCTCTCTCTCTCTCTCTCTCTCGTAAAGCTATTTTACTGCTTTTCAGCATACACGTTGCATTAAGAGTACATGTTCAATGCATGTAATTTGCTGCCACCTACCAAAGAACTATAACGTTTCCAAATTCAAAAAAAAAGAAAAGAATAATAATTGAATTTCTCATTTATAACGTGCCCAGACTAGGTACATGTAACTTAAGGGGCATCGAATGTAGTGGGGGGGGGGGAGTATATACTCAGGTATACCGTGACCATGGAGACAGTATACATCCAGCTAGCAAGTGTCAATTTAAAAAAAAAAACCCACCGCAATTGCTCTTAATACCCGCAATATTTTCGAAACAGGTGGATGATTACCGATACGTGATGACCTTGGCTTCACTTTGAAGCTACAATTATTAAAGTGTTGAAATTAAATAATTATGACAATTACAAAGTTCAAATACAGGTACCTATGTAATGAAAAAATATATGTACGTTTTCGTATTAAGGTATCTTTGCAAGTTCAATTTACTAATGTTGGAATTACGTGTACTTTTCATGCACAAGTACAAAACGTACCCGTCTAGTATATATTTTTTTATGTTCATGTAAAGTATTTCGAAAACTACATGTAGTACATGTTAGAGGTTCATGAACATGTAAACCTGTAAAATTATAGATATCGACGCGAAGGAAAGTGATAAGCATTTTTGCGGGTTTTTTTTTTTTTTTTTTTTTTTTTTTTTTTTGGACTGACTTGCAAGTAATTACAAAAAATCAAAAACATCCAATGTAAGGTCTACATGTAGGATAATTAAAATTGACAAAATAGTCTTTCCCTATATACATGTATTTAAATCAAGCTATTTATCAAATTTTGGTAAAAGATTAATTAAAAAAATATCATGGTAGTTAAATGAGATTTTCTTTCTCCAATTTACGTATTGACATAATGCACATTTATTCTGTACAATGTACATTTAATTTTTTTTTTTCATGATCAATTATTAAGATCGATAATTTCGAAGTTGATCTGGATAAATTAAAACGTGCATGTAAATTGAAATAATTAAATTAAAGCACGCACATGTTCTTATACTAACTGTTCCTATACTAATGTTCTTATACTGTATCTTGAGATAATAAAATTCTATAATTTATCGAAGACCTATTTTTTTTTCTTCTTTTTTTTAAAGTAACATATGTTATAACCATTATTATCTTCTTTTTTCTATTATAAATTAAAGTACTTATTATCTGATAAGTTTACGCAATGTATATTTATATATTAATGGATTATAAAAATATAAAGAAAATAAATATTTAATTATACATGTAATATGCTACCTGGATAATAAAAATATATAATGTATCAATAGATTTTAAAAATAAAAAATAATGAAAACAGATGTGTAAATATTGCATGTTGTCTGGAGAATTAAAGTATATAAATGTAAAATCATGTTTAAAAATCATATTGATAATATTTTTACATTGTACATTCACACGCTTTGCTTGTACAATGTTTAGATTATAAACTGGCATGTTGACTGGTCGATGCGCTGATGGTAAACGCATTTTATCACTTATCCTGATTGACAGACCTGTTCGGCATGTTGATTGGTCGACGCGCTGATGAGTTAATCGATAATCCTGATTGACAGCTCTGTTACGCAATACCGAACGCGCGTTCGCTTTCTGGGACCGCTACTGAATTTGGGGTTCGCTTTCAGCGTTCGCTCTGGGTCCGCATTGGGTTCGCTGTGGGTGCGCTCCGGGTTCGCTCGGGGTCAGCACTAGCGGACGCCAAGCGAACCCGAAGCGAACCCAGAGAGCGAACCCGGGGTGCGCTCTGGGTTCGCTTTCTGTTAGGTTGTGTCTGGTCGGTACTGTATATATATATATATATATATATATATATATATATATATATATATATATATATATATATATATATATCCGTGTTAGACATTCCGAAGTTAAATTTAGAATTAAATCATATTTTGGACTCTCAAGCATTCAGGATACGCACATTAGTATTTGCATTCTTAATTTATTTCTCTATATTTATTTTGAAAGAAAGAAAAAAAACCTTTAATATGATCTGATTGTGATTACCTTCAGACAACAAAGTCCAGCTGGTCCTGCCCCGATCACAGCGACTCTCTGTTTGACCGTATTCTCCGACATATCTTCAGCATAGTAGACTAGATTTTTTAACACCTCATTTATATACAACAATGTATGGAAGACAAAAAGAGATACCTCTGCCTACCTCGCCTTCCATTATAGCTTTTCCTATTTAAACTGTTACAGAGCAAGGAACTAATTTTGTCACATAGATCAGCATCAGCATAAGCAGAATAGCCACAGCCTCAAGTTAGCATCAGGATCAGCATTTGAAAACAGCATTGCCAGGATCAGCATCAGCAAGGAAAGGGAACCAACATAACTAGCATTGACTTACTTAAAATAAGCATTGACTTACTAGCATCAGAAAATCGACCTTTTTTCAGTAACAAAAATTGAAAACAGGTCTCATCCGAAAGAGCCACAACTTTCACTTCATAGTGTTGAGCGCTTGGCAAAGGAACAGCCTCTCCTGTTTTATCGACTTAGGTCAGTCGCGGCCAAGGTTTGAACACACGACTTTCCGATCAGGGAGCGAGCGCTCTACCGACAGAGCAACCATGACGATGAAAAACTTTACAAAATCTGAACTGCAAATGTACTTATGTTGTCTTAGGAAAAGAAGATATACTTCTCGGACTTATTGATGTTGGTGAAACCAAAGGTTCACTAATATGAAGGTATGGATTTCAAATTAACAACACGGACCAGCAAATTCTCTGCAAGTGTTTTAATTTTTCTGACTATTTTATTTTGTCAATAAAATTTAGAATTCTTGAAAAAATAAAACGTCATACTATGAGAATGCTTATTTCCAGAACAGATTAAAATCGTTCTTCTTTTTTTCCACAATAAAATAAAATTTCATCAATTATCAGTATGCAGAAATACTGCACGTGTACAGTTTTACAAAACGTAATAAAAGAATTTTGCATTAAATCACAATTCTTCATATTAGGATCGCCATTCCAATTGAAGCATATATGATTTCACATTGGTTTACTTGAACCTGATTTTGATTCTGCTTTTTAGCTTTAAAAGATTAAACACGCTATTTACCTTCAATGAATTATAACATACGAAGGTTCAAATTAAATGGGACACAATCATAAAAAAATACAAATGACAGGTTGCATAATGTTGAAAACATATTTGATTTAATTGAAATTTACAATTTAAGATCAGAGGATGTCCAAAACCCCTAAAAAAATGTGCAGTAATAACCATACCTTCTTTTTTTGATACCGCTTTTAGCTCAAGTAAATTTGATGCATGAAAATTTAAATGTAAATTTGTATTTCTTTTGGGGGATTTTATTTCTTCCTATTTTGCATTGAATTTCAACACAAATATAAAAGTTTCGATTTAGGGAAAATGAAAAAATAAGAGGACTGGTACTCAAATCCTGTGCTAAATATGAGTTTTTGCAATAATCATTTAGCCTGCAGAAACTGTTGTTTTTTTTTTTTTCAGATTTGTATAACGTTATAGCATTTTTATGTTTTGTATTCTATGTCCTTAACGTAGGAATCTCTTAAACAGAATATGAATTTTATTACAATAAAGTTATCTTCGCCTTGCCATTGAACTTCATTATCCCACTCTGAAATATGTATCATTAAGCATAGTTTAAATCAAGAAAGCACGGAGGAGTGACTTTTAACTTTGGCAACTGCTTTTTGAAGCGCTTTAAATATACAAGTACGCTATGGTAATTTAGATTTACAATGACCCAGGACGGAAAAGGACAGTTCGGTGTGATATAGGACGAGGTTGCTATTTATGCAAGATGATTTACCTTTGTTAAATTCAAATTAACTGCTGTTTGTCGTATTTATTTATTCATCTTTTTTTAAAAGAGAAATTAGGTAACATTTGCATTGGGATATGACATGCAGCTGGTACATGATCAAATCCAATAGCGCCCGTAGGGTGTTATAGAAGATTTGATCATGTACCAACTTCATGTCATATCCAAATGAAACTATAAAAATGATATTTTATTTCTTATATGTATATTTCTATTTTGGTTTGTGTTACATGGAAAAAGAAAAAAAAACTTTTTCTAGATTTCGTTATGAAAATTCAACAACATGTATGAGGTAATGTGATGTCATAGTCTAGTCCTTCAAAATATTTCTTGAGTTTCTTTTTCTTACAAAAGAAAGTCTGATCACTTGACCAACTTCAAGTTATCAAAAAATTGAATGTCAATTATGTAAGTATTGTCAATTAAGGAAACATGTTGGCAAATATAAATATTACAAAAATGTGATAATCCAAGACAAAAACACTTAAAGCAGCATCGTTATATCATTTTATTTCAGGGGCGTTAAATTTCCTATTATTATTATTATTATTATTTTATTGCTAAATCATTTTTTCCATCATTATATTTTATTTTTATATGATATTCAGCGGACGGGCTTTCGTGTCAACATCACAAAAGGACGAATATCAAGTGGCGTTCTTTCTGCCAATGATATTACGAAAATAATCTTCTTTTATTATATTTTTATTGGTGAAGTGTTTATGTAAATGCTGGTACATTGTAAATATTAAATCTCTCCTTTAATTCTTATATATTTTGTAATTTATGGCTGAAGCACAATGATCACGCAGGGGGAATTACTAGGATTGTAGCCCCTTCATTTGAAAGGAAAAGAGGAAGAAAGAGAGACACATATAAGATTTTTTTTATTTAAAATGCATGATGCCCACATTTTCAAATTATGCTTCAGTTGAAATAATTAGTGGGATTTTGAATTAAGGCATGTGATAGGTTTAAAAGATTTATCAGTTTATTACGTCTACAATTACACTATTTATTTTGCTGCAAGCTTTCTGGTAGATAAAAAAGTATATAAATCATGGAAACCATCGCTTTGTTTGCAGTAAACATATAAAATCGACAAAATTTAGTTGATACAAAATTTTCTATAAATGGGATTTTTAAAAAAATGTTCTTACTGTTTGAATTTAAAACTAAAAACAAGAAAGAAACGACGATCAATCTTTGTATTTTACTGTAAGATAGATTGTCATAAGGATTGAGATATCCGCTTGTTAATGCAGGAAAAAAATCTTAGAATTGTTAATGTGTAAAAAAAATAATAACTAATCAATCAAATAAACTTTTTTTTTTCAATATCAGTTTCTTCTTTCTGTGTTTATTTTTGTTCTCTGACTTCGATTCAAGATTCCTTCCTTCCTTAACCATACCAATTTCATTTTTTTTTTACATACCCTGCAATTAAGAATAGTCTGCGTAATTAATACAGTTATGCAGTTATTAAAATAGCAAAAGTGAAGACAAAAATTGCATCATCGGTGTATGAATGAAAGCAAAAATTGTCAATCATAAAAGGTAATCAAGATTTACATTACTCAGAAAGAATAATAGGTATCATAAAACAAGTCGTAACATACTTTTTATGCAATGAAAATCAGCAAAAAAAAAAAAAAAAAAAAAAAAAAAAAACGTAAATTATACTTGGGCAAACATGGCAAATGAAAGTAGAATCATCATCGGTTCTGTTTTGTCCTTGTCAGAAATGGACTAACTAAACACATTGTGATTTTATTTGATATGCCTTAATCAAATATTATGCTATTGTTATTTGTGCGGCAAAAGCTGCAAAATTATTTTTGATATCTTCATCTTGTCTTATATATGCATGGATATATTGGGGATGTAGAGCAATCTATTGGGCATATGGTTCATGGAGATGTAGCATGAAAATCAGAAATCGGGTGTAATCTTATTTTCTTTTATGGAAAAAAAAACATTTAAAAACTCTTTTTAGGAAAAATAACATTAAAACTTACATAAATGTATCAATGACTTCATAAGTCCTATTTTAAGTACAATATAGTTAGCTATCAGTACCTGTAACTCTACCGTGTTTCTATTGATGGTTATATCCTTGTGCATAATGTAGTTTCCTCTTGACAACCGTATGTGGTTAAGAATTCTGCTTTCAAATTGTTTTCATTGGAAGTTGATCATCCAAGCCATACTGCGAGTTATAGGGAAAAAATGTATGTTTAGTAAACTCTGAATTGTTGGCTACGTCTGAATTGAACTGTTTGCATAAATCGAATCTTCAAATATATATTGGAACACAGTGGGCCCTTCCTTATTGTTACAATGTAAAATTCAAACTTTGAAGAAAAAATATTGATTACCTGTTAATTACACCTCATTTTCTCTGTGGATCAACTTCAAATAAAGTTGTCTAAAACATGAAGCAGTTAAACATTACCTACCATTACTTCGTGTTTTCTTGGAAAGAAAATGGCGACTGACACTATTCTTTTTTCCTACCAAAACTTTGATTTTTATTGTTAAATATCTTTGATTACATGAGCAGAGCTATTTTGACGTCACACTTGGTCAAAAGAAGTAATTAAGTTTTTTAGTGAGTATGCTTTCAAGGGAAGTTGTTCAATAATTGTTTAATTATACGTAGAGAAGATGTACTGTACGAAGATAGGTATATCTTTATAAAATCCACTGCAAATTGCAGGTTATAACCATCAAATGGAAAATGTTCACAAGAAAGGTTGAAAGGAATATCAAGTCTAAATTAACTTTAAATATTTCATTCATTTGATGGTCACTGAGAAGGAATTATTTTCAGTAAAAGCGTACTCCTGCTCCTATCACAGTCCCATAAAATCTGCGCATTTGAATACACATTTATATTTCAAAAAATCTTATTAAATGATATGTATTGTGGGATTGGAAACAAATACATGTAATTGGATGTTTTGTCTCGGTGACGTTGCAAACTATTGGGTTTTAACCGGTAAGTTTTGAAAGAAAATAAAATGTACATAATTTGTTCAATTTAGACGATAGTATTTACATAGCACAAACGTCCTCAGGAACGATGTTCACATATCTCCTAAAATTTCATAGAAAGATGTATTTTTGTAGGAACAAGGTGTCATAAATGTATCTATCTGTTGAATATAAAATCTAAAATATTCGATAAATATATGGACAAACAATAAGTAATTACAAAAATGATATTTACCTAAATACAGTTTTTTATTG